TGCCTTTAACCACATAATGTCAGACCATTGGATTTCAATCTTATTCTTGAGACCTCCATCAAGAACCTCCCACACCAGTTTATGCTTAGCAAAGTAACACTTTGCCACTAAATCCCCTTCGTACCTTGACTTATACTGCATATATAGTTATGGATTTACAATAAGGTTAAGGCTAAAATTGAGTTAAAAGAGGACCAATATTTCAGAATAAAAACATGGGTTTGATCTCAGTTCACAAATTATATGTGGGTTTGAGTGTTTGGCATGAAAACCAAAACCACTGGTACACTATGTATAGTAATAAATAAATGAACTATTTAATCCAAGGATTTGTAATCATTTTTTTCCGGTTTCTCTGTATTTTACTCATAGTCATTTTGTAAGGTTCCTAATTATGTCTGCACTTGTCTAGAAGACTAGAACATCAAGTATATGTCTAAGTACTCTGGTTCGGCCCAAAACCCATGATATCTTACTCCCTCTGTTGCCCATATATCTTCCCATTAGCCTTTTTTTGCTTGTCCCTCATACATCTTCTCATTAGCCCTTTTAACATTTAAAATACCATATATACCCCCATTTACTTTATCTATAACACCTCACCTACCTCATTTAATATACTCCACCAATTTTTATCAAGGATGTTTTGACACACTTTCACCTTTTTTCAACTCTCCGTAAAAACCACAAAAAGTCAAAATGAGAACATCTAAGGGGGACGGAGGGAGTATCCCTCCATCCCAAATTAATCCTCTTTATTTCCTTTTTGGAATGTCCCAAATTAATCTTCTACTTTCCTTTTATGGAAAGCTTTTTGTGGCTCACATTTTTTTCTCTCCTCTGCATCACTTCCAACCACACAATTTCACTTTTCTTAAACTCCGTGCAAAGTCAAACTGTGAGTATTAATTTGGGACGGGGGGAGTACATAAATTACTATGAGGTAAATCCAAGGACTCACCATATGCGTACATTGTCAATGAAGCTAAAAGAGTTGTTTTTACTATGTTTTAAGTACAGGTAAAAATGGACTAAATCAAAATTACACATTAAATTTATCTTGCTTCTTACGTTCTATGAACTTTTGGCCATAAAGTGCAGCAATACATCAAGGGTCTAACAGAAAAATCTCTCTATTTTTTTGTGTGGGGTAAGATTTCATACATCTTGACCCCCAAACCCCAATGGAATTGGGATTTTTCGTTGATCGGTGNAGGACTCACCATATGCGTACATTGTCAATGAAGCTAAAAGAGTTGTTTTTACTATGTTTTAAGTACAGGTAAAAATGGACTAAATCAAAATTACACATTAAATTTATCTTGCTTCTTACGTTCTATGAACTTTTGGCCATAAAGTGCAGCAATACATCAAGGGTCTAACAGAAAAATCTCTCTATTTTTTTGTGTGGGGTAAGATTTCATACATCTTGACCCCCAAACCCCAATGGAATTGGGATTTTTCGTTGATCGGTGCTGTATCTTAGTGGCCCTAAGGGTTGTCTTTCGGGTAAAAACTAGAACTTCTTATTGGTTTAAATAATACACCTCAGCCCCTTTCAACCCTCAATCCTCCTTTTTATCCAGGACCAACCAATGAAAATGTTCCCTTTTTGCATAAGAAACATTTCATTTGGCTATTATTAGCAAAATCATTTTTTATATCAATTAGACAGTTATACACACGTATTGATGTGCAGTTGTGCACGTAACTATGAATCTAGAAGAGATTTTGTCATTTTCTTATCCGTATCTCAAAAATTATTTCAGCTTATACTTGAAGTAGGTAATTTAGAGATTTTTGGTTCAATGCTCGGGAAGATGTTTTTAGGAACATAAGTCAAATAAATAAATGCTACCTCCCAGCTGCCAATAGTGAGAACTGATGCAGGAAAATTAGACGCCTTTAACTTCTCTGTAGTACTAGAACTGCCCCTTTGTTCTCTTTTCCCAACCTTTGGCACCACCTTCCCCTGAGAAAGCCTCATTTGAATCAAGTCCAAAAGTGATGGGCTTTTTCTTAAACTCAACCCCAATGGGCTTGGCTCATCTAGAGGGTTATACTGTGCTGGAGGTACAATAAAATCAGTGGATCCAACTCCTCCCTGATACTGCAACAACAAGAAAAAATGCACACCAAAAATATTAAAAAAACACGAAAATGAATATAACTATAATGCTGATTTAAGTCAGATAGTTTGAGTAAATTATACGGAGCATTTGTTAACCAACAAAAATACGAATGATGTTGTGAGCTTTAAACCTTCAATCATTCCATCTTTCCAATAAGAAAGAATTTCCCACCTAAAAGATGCCATCCGCTCTTAAATATGGATCCGTTACGAATATACAATATGACCATAAACAAAAATTCATAAGGGAACAAATTACAATAAGCACATGCTCAAATGTCTATGTAATCCTCTTGTATATGTTTACTTTTGATTGCTCCTTTAATACCTCAAAATCAAAACGTATATTTGACGTGTGAAAATGAATTTCTCGTCATCTTTAATATGGAATGTTTGAACCTTCCAAAAAATGAATGCTTGAAACTTATTTAAGGACGTAAGACGTACGCCCTACCAAGTTGTCAAATACTCCATCGATCCCAATTCCCAAAAAGAAGGGAAAAGAAGTACCCAGGAGTATTATTTGAATGCTTCTCCTAAAAAGAGTCAACTTTGAAATTTCTTATCAAAATTTGCCAAAAATGTTACAAACAAGAAAAATAAGACAAATTTAGCCAAACCAACAAATATGTTTTTTTAAAAAAATATAAATACAAGTTTCATCACTTTCAACGATTGTACCCTGACCACATAAGTCGATTGCATCTCCACCACCAAACAGGACACTTCTTAAATAGGGGAGTAATTCCAATGCTGTTTTAAATGCCTAGAACTTGTAAGGACTCCCTTTTCAAAAGGCACACAATATAAGTATTATTGAGAAGCTAAGGTTTCATATAATTCTTCAAAATCTATGATAAGGGCTATTGAGTGAATACAACGTACTACATTCTTTTCACCGGTAATAGGATTAGAAATTCATCAAAAACAAATTATCAGGCCGCGATGCGTACCAGGAGGGGGGAAGAGAGCTTGGATCGTTTGTTGACTCGGCCGTACTCCTCCGCCAATTGATCATCGGAGACCACCTCCACCTTCACCGGCGCCGCCTTGTCTCTTTGCCAGTGCAATTCACGCGCCGTCTCGCCCGTGTTCATCAAGAAAACCATGAAAATATCCCCGAGATTGGAGCAATCGAAGCGTCGTTATAGGTAAAACAACTCGCCTGAGCTCGCCGAGACGGCGTCGCGAAATATGCGGCGGAGAAATTGAGATTGATAAGAGAAGAGAGAGAAAATAGGAGAGAAAACAGTGTTGGATTTCGCCTCTGTGCTACCGGACAACGGCGGGCTCCGTGATGACGGTTATATACTCACAATCTCGCACGTGTCTCATTGATTTTACTTTCCTACCCCTCGACAAGTTGAATCCCCCCGCCAGTAAAAAGTGAAACTCATCACTCGCAGTAAAAAAGTAAAAACAATTACTTTTCCGATTTTACCTTCCATGAACTTCGGGGTTCACTTTTGAAAATGACCAAAGAGATATTTCTCTGTGCTTATAACATGATCAAAATTACTTATAAACTATTTTTAATTTAAAAGTCAGTAGATAACGTGTTTCTTTGTGTTTATAAGCTAACTTATAAATTGCTTATACGTAAAAAAAAGTATTTCTTACTTACTTATTTTTAAGCTAGTTTTTTTATTTTCCGTTTTGACCAGATTACTCACAAAACTATCTCTCACCTTTTACAAATATCTCTAATGATTTATATATTATTTAAGCCATTTTATCTACACAAAAGAATTTTTAACTAGTAAGCAATTTATAAGTTTAAAACTGCTTATAAACAATAAGTCAATAAGTACCATCACTGAGAAATACACACTAAATTAAGAGTAAAAAGTGTTAAAATAGAAATAGACATTACAAAAAAATATAGTGATATGCACTATATGATGTCATATTATCTCAATATAAAGTTGTATTTTGGGGATATAAAATGTAATTCTTATTTTAAAGATAAATATTATGTTCTACTCTTATTTGAAGTCCTTTCTTTTACTTTTTTCGCATTAAGAGTAATGTTGGATGTACATCAAAAGTATACCTTATTTGCACATCATCATTTTCCTCACCATACATTCCTTATCCAATCTCTAATCTTATTATTCTCACCAGTCACCACACATTTCTTATTTATTCTCTAATCTTTTTTCCACACCTAAAATTGTGTGGTGCAGAGAGTGTGGTGTACGCTTTAAGTGTACCCTTACATTTATCTTTCCCAATTGAGCATCATAAAACTTTTAGAATGCATCCCACATCGAAAGTTACCGAATAAAATAATTGGTATATAAGCTCTTGAGTTGAACTAACTGATCGATTGGATTCAATCTTTTAATGTGGTTCAACCCAAGTGTCTTATTACCCAATCCAGTATTCCATATCCCATCCTAAATTCTATCATGGTATCAGAGCAGGTTTTGGCCCACCTCGTTTGTCAAAGTGACCGTTTAGACGTTCATTCCTAGCGGCCCGTTAGTCTTTAGCCCAGTTGTCCGTATGGAGTATGTACCCAACAACATGTGGCCCGTTTAACACGATTGCTCGTCTGGAAGCCCATACCCAGCAGCTCGTGGTCTTTTAGGTGTTGGCGCTCAAAAAAAATAATCAAGGGAATGAGAGTTCATTTTCAAGTGGTCAACCGGTTAGGTTCAAAATGACCGGTTGTCCACTTGAGGGGGAGTGTTAGAGTGCATCCTACATCGGAAGTTACCGAGAAAAATAATCGATATATAAGCTCTTGAATTGAACTAACTAATCGATTGGATTCAATCTTTTAATGTGGTTCAACCCAAGTGTCTTATTACCCAATCCAGTATTCCATATCCCATCCTAAATTCTATTATAAACATCTCCCACTAATTTTGTCAGGAATCAAACTTGACCACAACGACATTTTGTATTTCAATGGACCATTGAGCTATGTCTCTCGAGCATTATACGATCAATTCTCAACTTTTTAATAGTGCATACTACTCCCAATTTAATTGCTAGCATTGGTATGCATATTTTTTGCATGTGTTCATATTTTGTATGTGGTATTGTGTGATACTTTCATGTAAAACTAATGTCGGCTTACACGCACCCTTTTTAGATCTTAGTGGCAGATCCAAAGTCAAAGTACTTGAGACTGCATTTTGATAAAGGGAACTATGAACAGTCGAACTTACGCTGTCAGCTCTCATCATTCGTCGTTGTTCGTGTGTGTCTTTGCCATTGTAAACCGTTTTAATCTGACTCTCTTCACCGTCTTTTGTTTGTTGTCGCATGTCGGTGAAAGGCTCTTTCTACGTAAGTACACATTCATACAATACTTACACTTAGAATTGTATAATTAAACTTAGCTAGTGGAGATTGAAACATGTCGACATACTTAAATTCGATAAGGTCAATGCATGAAGGGTCGACATAATTTAAACTATAAATGTGAATTGCGATAAAGTTTAAATGTGATTTACAATCTTAAACGTAGTCGTCTGAATAGTTTGGTCGACACTACCTAATTACTCGACATAATTGGTCGCTCTTGACAATACATAGCATCATCATTAAATCAACTATATCTATATTTTTAGACAATAAATTTTATATGTCATTCGATGTTGACAAGTTTCGATGTATTTATGTCGATATTCTGAATTATGTCGAGGTATTTTGGTCAGTCACATGTTGAGCTAAATAAGTCGACAAATTTGTCAACTATTTTTTACGTCAGAGAGTATTGACAAACTTAGTCGTAATAATGTAAAAATATTATTTAAGGTCTAATTGTGATTGTGTCGACATATATAGATCGACACATTTATAAGTCGTTGACAAATTTAATTCTATTTTTGCGTGCAGATGGCCCCTTATTCGCCTCTTTTCATTCACTGTCGTGGTGAATAGGTTGAAAACGACAAAAACAAAATCCAACTTAAACACAACAAATAAAGGAAGACACAAGTGATCGAGTAGGAAAGATGTATTACAGACTTCAATGCACTTCTCATGTGTATTTATTGGAACTTTGGATTGGAACAAAGAAAACACAACTTCAGGTTTTGTAGCAATCTTTCAGTATGGAATTGCCACATGTCATAATTGTAGTGATAAGGCTCTGGGTTCATTCCTAAGGGATAAAGATGTAGATTCTACATTCTTATGTGTTGAGGTGACTGAAATTGATTAAAGAGAGTTGGAAAATCAAAATGGCAAACAACAACATGAAATTGAGGAAAGAGAATTGGAAAATCAAAATTGCAAGCAACAACATGATGGTAATAAAAAAGACGTAGACTTTCATATGATAGCATATCTTTTCTTTCATCAATTTTTGAAAGTTTGACAATGAGGACATCACAATCAGCTTCATATGGGGAAATTCCTTTGCATTTACATTCGTCTTGATTGCCTAAACCTATATAAAAGCATATAATGTGAACAAATTTCATGTGGAATGACATCTCAATCACTGCGACCAGGGTCGACTAAGGTCGATCACGTATGTTAGTCGACCCAATCAATCGTTCATTAACTTTGGTCAGTGATTAATTGGAGAGGAAATTAAATCATTTATTATCAAATTTCTGACCTGAAGAGTTCCTTCAGTGGTCTTTGGGCTTCCGCTATGTTGTGCGGTCGTCTTCTCTACACGATACTCACCGCTTTCGTTCTTAGTGTACAACACGGAAGCATTATTCATCCTCGTTGTAGAGATTCAATGGTTTTTGGGATTGGCGACTTTGGGTGGAGGGGATTTCGATCAATTTTTGCAGGAGTCGAAAAGTTGGAAGAGAGCGCAGAGAACGAAAACACAAAGGTCCCATGATAAAGGAAGACATATTTTTGAGAGGATTTCTATTTAGTTTATTCTGACATCATTTCGCTAATTCTCGATTTTTTTATTTAAACCTGAAACACCATTAACGCTTCGCTACATGACCTTCTTTTTCATTTTTTAAAAGAAGCGTGTCACACTTACACGTCTATACATTTTCGTCAATTCACATTTAATGGTAGTCCACCAAATATTAAACGTTTTCAGGACATTTTGATAAAAATTTCTTTGGACTACTATAGCGTTCCGTTCAACTTATTCTTTCTGCTTATTACTTATTCTTATTATAATTAGATCAGATCAGAAACAGCTTTAATTATATCTGTAATCAGATCAGACCAGATCTTCAAAAAATCAAATCAGATCATATCAAGCGAACCGAACACGGCCTACACTTTCTTTTTTAGCATGAGGCACACTCGTGCTTGAGGATAACAATTCAACTAAAATATCTGAACCCGAACCGAGAATAAAATAATCTGAACCTGACCCAAAATTTTTAACTCGAACCCGACATCGGGTCGAATCGGGTGTGGGTTTATAATTTTACCCTACTCGAACCCGTACCCAACCCGACTCAAGTCCAAATATTTTATAACATAAAAGCCTATCTATAGATATAATGAGAACTCCGTATAATCTCTTAACAAGGTGCTACTATATCAAGTATGTCTTTTATAATTATTTTATAATTTCTTACTAAAAAATGAGACACAAAAGAAAGAGACACAAAAAAAATTAGATTTAATTCTTTTAAAATTATTGGGGTACGTCGAATTGATTATTGGTTAAACTACAAATACGGGTTTGGATCCGGGTTCGGGTTCAAATGTCGGATTCGGGTCGGGTTCGGGTTTCGGTTTTAAAAGTCGAGTCGGGTTTGGGTATAGTACTATTCGGTAAAAATATTTTTTGTTCGATTCGTGATTCATATTTGAATAAGGAGATTCATATTCGATTTTTTCGAATCTAAAACTGAATACGAATATGAATAAATATTAAAATCCTTATCGAATACGAATCAAGGGTATTCGAATCGCGAGTTTGAGGAATATATTTAAATTATGAATTTAATTATACAAATTATACCTTTATATATATATATATATATATATATATATATATATATATATATATATATATATATATATATAGATTTTGGTTCTGGTGAGAATGCAATCTTAGGAGAGAAATGAGAATGAATCTGGTGCTTTAAATTGCGAGATCTAAGGGTCAAGATTTCATCAAAATTAGATGCACCAAAATGGTGCGAAAATGCATCACGTCGAAATGCACCATAAACCTTCGAAAATGCAGTATCTCAAAATCTGAGCGCAGGATGCAATCTGAGCCGCACGATGCATCAGATCCGACGGCTAGATTTTATTCTCATTTCTCTCCACAAGGTGCATTCTCACGGGAACCGGCCCCTATATATATATATATATATA